CCTGCCCTGTATTCAAGCCAAGTGAAGCAAGGCAAGGTAAAAAGAAAAGAGCGAAAAAAGGAGCCAGCGTTGCTTCGAAGAGCCCCAGGGTTCCCCTGAGCTCGGGGAGCGGACCCTCCTTCCCCTGTCCCCAGCAGCGGGGCGCCCGGGGCGCGCAGAGCCGCGCAGCAGCACCGCCCGGCCGGCGGCAGCGGGCAGGGCTCCGCTATGCCCCAGGGACCGGCACTGAGCGGGGACAGCCGCTCCCGGACCGCACCGCACGGCTGCGGGACCACAGCCGGGCACAGCGCGGCACGACCGGCCGGACGAGCCCTGCCGCTCCGCCCGGCTCCCGGGGCGACAGGCGCGGCACCTACCGGGGGCCGCCATGGTCCGGGACTGGCGGGGAAAGAGTAGCTTCCCTCTCCTCACATCGCCGGCAGAGCGGCGGGGAGCCCTCCAGCCCGGTGCCGCGTCCCCGTCCCCCACTCGCACACGGCTCGGCACAGCCCAGGGCTCCTCCCGGCCCCGCCTCCGCCCGCCGGGCCGGGGGCGCCCCCTGCAGAGCCGGGCACGGGTGGCTCCCACCCGGCCGCGCCTCGCCTTCCCGGTACTTGGCGGGACGCTTCCCCAAGCAGGGAAAGAAACTGCCTTTTCCAGCTGGCTCCAGGCACATACTCCATAGGTGGCCTAGGAAACTGCGCTACAATGAGGAAAAGTTACGTGTTACGGTGATACAGGAACTCCGTATCCTTAGTCACGAGAAACTGGGAAGAAAAAGTTGTAGAAGAGAACAAGCGAAACCTGCTTTATGCATACCGCTAACTTAGGTTTTGACTTCCGTCTCCTATGAGCAAGGAAAACTCCTAGGGAGAAAACCAAGTTGTTTCACGTAGAACGAAGCAGATTGATGTTATAGGTTTTCATCTAGAAGATGCTGCCTTTCAAATTAGATTTACCAGAATCCGTATGCCTATGCTCATGTTTGAGTACACAGAAAATAAGCAGTGGAAGGACACTGTTAAGAGTTCAGAAAACAGGACTCAATTTATTAATTTTGTTGCTAAAGACAAAGCACAAATTCTGCCTATTCATTTGCAAACTTAGAAAAAAACAAACTGATCTGGATTCAGAAACATTTCTTTACTGAGCACCACTGATGCACTTAGCACAGCAAAATAATCTGTTTTCCCAGTCAAGGCAGTCATTTGCAAGCAGTCAGGTGGACATACTGAATGCAGCTTAGTGTCACCAACACCAATGTTAGAACTGAGATGGTTACAAGGAGAAAGGAACCAACTCTTTTCTACTATTCAACTCTTAGAAGCTAGTCAAACTCTTGTTATCTCCAAATTTTCTTTACTCAAAACCCACTTTAAGCTTACAAACTTGTGCCGTGGCCTGTCTTCCAAAATCAAACTGTTTGCTCTCACAATAAGGAAGTACTAGGACAGAAAGTACTTTCTGAGCACAGCCTTATGAGAAACTTCAGGTATGCAAAGAAGAAACCATAACTTTCCCATCTGAATCATCCCAAAAACATACACTAGAATAAAGAACACACAGGCACTGCAGAAATATGCCAATACAGAATCTATTTGGGATTTATCTGAAGGACAAAAGTTAACTAATCAGAAACTAGAGTCTCTAGCCACATTAATTGACTATTACGGAATAGAAAACATATATTAAAAACTATTGAAACAGATGGATAACCACATGTACGACTTTATGACTGTTCCACATTATTTGCCTTGTAAAACTGTTTATTTTCTAACTTCCAATATAAAAAGTTAAAAAGAAAATCATCTCTCTGATGTTAGATGAGGATTTCAACATGATCTTATGAAATGAGCTTTTACTTTCTTTCTTTCTTTCTTTCTTTAAAGCCTTGCAGTATCACACGAAGGGCTAGCAAAATCACCTTCCTGCTTTGTGGGAACCCATGGGGCTTATCCATATGTATCAGTGTCACTTGGCATGATACGTATTTTATTTAACCAGTGCAAGTCCACGGGAAACCTCTTTAAATTTCCCAAGTCTCTAAAGTGAATTTAATGTGCCTCCACAAATGAGGCGGTTATGTAACTGCTAGTGTGTTGTTCCAGCAACCGCCACCAAAAAACTCAGATGATAAATCAGGGAAAAGCCCCTTCAGACCCTACAACATTAGGCTGGCCTAAGGGACAGTTACACAGCTCGTAACGAACTAAGGAAAGAAAAAGGAAACAGAGGGAGCTTTTCATCTTCCCTTGCCCAAAATTGACTGTGCAACTCTTTCCTCACTTCAAATCACTGCAGCATGTAACCACAGCTGCATTTGCAGCATTATTCTCAAGGGTCTGTTTTATCCCTGTCCAAAGAAAAGGACTAGATTGCTTTTTCTAAAGACATTGCTTTCTCGCTAGGTACTTATGAGGGGTAACAAGGAAAGATTCAGTAAGTGTTTGAACACCCATGCTACCTCTCTTCACTTTTTCTTGGCCACAAAAAGAGTAGAAGAGCAGAGACTTCTCAAAAAAATGTTCTCTTCCAAGATGATTAGGTCACCCTGCAGCCTTAACAAAGAGATACAACAGCCAAGGGGAAAACTGAAAAAAACTATGAGGAATAGGTGAGTGGAGCAAAGGAATTTACAAGCAACAGCATAAATCAGTTTGATTTGCTTGCTTTTTAGATCCCAGGACCTCCTACTACTGCCTTGGGGAATAAAGAGCAAAATGGCTTTCCCTGCAAGATCATCTGAACAGCTGCAGGCACAACATGGGGGAAACACACACCTAGACAGACACACATCTCTGAAGAGAAGCTGCCCCACAGCACAGGGAACAGACCTTACTGGCAAAGGCTGGGCAGGAAAGAGAGATACTAACCAGATGAGAAACAAAGGGAGTCAGTGAAGCAGTCAGTAACTTCCCTGGTTCTTCACAGCAGTTACTTCAGACAGCAGGACTTAAAATAAGGACAGTTTACCAGCAGTGGCTGCATGTCTTCCTTTCAGATACAGACAAAAGCACAAGTTTTCTGAGCTTTGCAGATGACGCTTGCAGCTGTAGCTTACTGTAGATGGAAACTACAAAAACTAAGAGAAATATTAGTTCCTGGAAATGGTTTCCTTTCTGCAACACAGCCCCGTGTTATTCCATACAGAACAGGGGCAGGTCAGGTCAAGGACATCTGAAAACAAGTATACACATTTAACCAACTCTCAGCTGAATGTCCCTTTTTTACACCACAGGCTACAGCACCTGTACAAAATTACAGGATCTTACAGTATAAAATACCACTACAAGAGCTGGCTTTTACTTCCCTGTGAGTGCAAACGTGACACTTTTCAGAGACATCAGCAACAGGAATGCTTTGCTGGGCACAGAGCCCCACCCAAGTGTGTGTGTTCATCCGACACTAGGAGAGGGACAGAACACCCACACAGCAGGAACAGCAATAATTTGGAAATCATTAAGTGCAGAACACTAGGTAGGGAACATGTAAAAAGCATAATGCTACATACCTACTACTGCTCTGTTTTACCCTAGCAGGCCTAAATCAAGACTTTCAGCACAGGACTCTCTTTTTCCTTTGCCCTCAGCAAGTTTTATAGCACATTCTATCAAAGAGAATCAAGAAAAACTTCATCACAAAGGCAAGGAGAACAAAGAGCTACAACCATCAAAGCGAACCTTCAGTTTTACAGAAAAAAAACTTTCCTGGAGAAATGATTAACCTAAAGCTACAGCCCCCTTTTGCCTATAGGCCCAGAAGCTCCACTTAAGCTCACGCCTGGGTCCTCAGTGTTTGCTTGAGGTGTACCTGTTTCCTGCCCTGTTTCTAACCTTGCCTCTTTTAAGTTCTTCAAGCCTTTATTGTAAGCAGCCTTACCTCACATTCCCTTTCTGTCTCTCTCTTACAGGTTTGTGCTTTAGGACAATTTAGGACATTACTTCCTCTAGCACCATTTCCCCTTGTTCCTGTATGGATCCATTATCTGGTGTCCCAGACCTGGTTTGTTACTGGAAAGCGGCAAATAAGAAACTCCTAAGACTCAATTTGTGAGCATTCTTTATCATCAGCACAGAACACACAGGGAGGATAGCTCCTCTAATCTTGTGTGTGTCCTGTTTTTCGAACATCAGAGCTTCGGTCAGCATAGCTAATATTTACTTAAAATTTTACATATTCATCAAATGTCTTACGTATTAACTACTTCTCTCATAAAATTCAAACATGTTAATTAGCTCTAAGTAGTTGTTCAGAAGGCCTTATTTGGTCGCTAGGGGCCCCTGGTGGTCGTTTGGAGCTTGAACTTGAACTTGTCCGCTGAGCAGCGTCTTTATTCAACATCTCTTGTCAAAAACTGGATACTCACGTTGTAACTACTTCAACTAAAACACTCATAAACTTGCTTCTCTGGCAGTTACCCTTAAAGAAGCTTACGTTGCAAAGGCCCGTGTAAAATTACCGAGCAACGGAGAATTACTGCTTTCGGAATTACAGCTCCCTTTTCCCGAGACTCCCGATGACTCCCGTTATCAGTACCCAGCCCTGTCTCCCGTGTTCCAGCCACGTGGGGCTGCGCCGTGTGGTGAGGGCTCTGCCAGTGCCGCCTGCCCACAGCCACCGGCTTGTTCTCCTCCCCGGAGCAGCCTTGTCCCCGCTCCCCAGGACTCCCCGAGCTCCTCACTCCTGCTCCCTAGCACTCTCCTTTCAGTGACGGCCTTCAAAGCGGATTACAAGAAGGGTGATCGGGCTTAGGGGGACCTAAATCCTCCAGGGCCGTGTGGGCACTCCCGGGTTCCCAGCCCCTCCTCTGCTGCTCCTGCACCCCGGACAGCTGTCCCGCAGCACAGAGAGGCGGCGACGACACCAAAGAAGTTACTTTCCCTCTCCCTGCCCCAAAGCCACTGTGCCGCCTCTGCCGCCCAGACAACATGGCGGCGGGGCGGGGACGGGCCGGGACCTCGGCGCGCTCGCGCACGCAGGCGCGCAGGCGGGCGGGGCGGCGCGCGCGCGCGCAGGCGGCACGTGTGTCGGTGCATGATGGCGGAGCGGCGCGCGGTGCCCAGCGACCTGTTCCCGCTCGTGCTCGCCTTCCTGCGCGAGAGCGGCTGCCAGGGCGCCGCGCGCGCCTTCGCCAGGGAGGCGGCGGCGGTGAGGGGGGAGAGGGAGAGGGAGCGGGAAAGGGAAAGGGAAAGGGAAAGGGAGAGGGAGAGGGGCGGGAGGGAGCGAGCCGGGAACGCGCTCACTGACGCGGCCTGTCTCGGTTTAGAAGGAGCAGGACCCGAACGCGGCCTCCCTCCTGGACATCTTCACCTACTGGCTCCGGTAAGTGCCCCCTCCCTTCCTCCCGCACCGCGGGGCCGCGCTGATGGCCCGCCGGGCTCCCCCCGCTGCAGGGCCCCGCTCAGCCTCTCTCCCCGCAGGTCTCCGGCGGCCAAGAAGGGAAAGCTGGTCCCGAACGGCGGCCAGGCGAAGAGGAAGCCGTCCTCCAGCAGCTCCAGCGAGGAGGACGAGAAACCCCCGGCCAAGAAGCCAGGTGGGGTTTGTGAGCGACCCTGGCGCAGGTCGGGGTTGTGTTTGATGTTGGCTGCTCACCCGCGTGTAGAGTCGAGCGTCAGCAGCTCTTCTGAGGTCCTACAGCAGCTATCACGCACTGGGCTTGTATTACCTGATCTCGGTTTTGACAGGTCTTTTGCCCGTGACATGTAAGATACGTTCATCCTAACTAAGGGTGATGTTCTTATCCTGTTAGAATTTAGGCACATCAGAGTTTGTGTCCCCCAGAAGGTGTTAGCCATTTATTTTGTTTCCTTCGGCTGAGCCTGGGGAAGTCATTGGGCTATACTGAGTTTCAAGATGCTGTTAAATAGCACCTTCATTACCTTGTCTAGACTGGAGTTCTACTTTCCAAACACTCACTAGGATATCTCAGCAGGGTTATACCTACTTGCTTTGGCACCTTCAGATTATGCGTTGCTTTAAATACTGGGTGAAATTGGGATTTGAGAGTATGCAGTTGGGCAGGTACTGGGAGGAAGCTACCTCATGGTGAGTTTTCCATGTTATTTTCTAGGGGCTCTCTTACTAAGGTCTTTAAAGAATGATTTTTCATTTTGATTTTGTATGAAAATTGATTCAGGTTTTACAAGTGCCTGTACGTTTGTTAAAATACTCATAATTTGACACAACTCCTGCATGGCTAGGATTTATTTAGATTTATCAGGGTCCTCTGTATTGACGGACACCATGACCTGTTGCAGAGGAGTTGCACAGGGTATGCTTGAATTCCAGAGAAATGCCAGGTGTCCTTATTCGCCTGCTGCTTGTGAGAGGTTTCTATCCTTTTTTTCCTCTCAAGTTTGTATACTAATTCTATCAAAAATACATCTCTCCATTGCATTCTGGTATGTGGTTAGCTGCATTTTTCCCTTTTACTTGGAGTTGTTCTTATATCTTCCCTTAACTACACTGTACACAAGATTTGTATATATAGAAGGAGATTTGCAGGGGAGAAGGACTAAATAGGGAGAGACAGAAAGAAAACTGGTCTTCAACTCAAACCATCCCAAAACTGAATTTGAACTTGGATCGGATTTTTATTTGATAAGGACACTTGCAAATAAAGTGTGAACCAAAATGATTCCTTTTGCTCCACATTATTAAAAAGCAATCAGTAACTAGGAAGTAGATTTGGCTAAAACACATTCAAGTGTCTGAAACTTTATTACAGCACTTTAACCATTGAGAGTGGATCTCTTTTGCAAGCACAAGTCTGTGCTTGTTCAGGTTTCTTTACGCTGAAAGGTGTGCAGACCCAGGTAATGTTACCTCAGTTTGGGGGCGCTCGCTCTTTGTGAGCTGTCCTTTTTGGTGATAGAAGTCTGCACTTAAATGTGTATGTGACAGAGATAAAATTAGAATTGGTTCTGTCCTCTTGCTTACCCATTTTGGGGTAGTGTGCCACATGCTGCTCTCAAGAAATAAAGTCAGTGTTGTGAACTGCAGTCATGGTTTAATGACCTTAGTCTGTCCTTTACCCTGATACCCACTAGCGCAGGATATAGGTACGTGCACATTGTGAATTCATTTGTCATCAGTGTTTGCTGTCGCATATTTGCAGCTAAAGGAGCAACTGTTCCCAAAGCAAAAGCAATTCCTCCAGCCAAGAAGGCAGAGAGCAGCAGTGAGGACTCCAGTGATGATTCAGACTCGGAGGAGGAGGAGAAGCCAACAAAGGTTTGTTTTTTTTCCAGCCTCTTTGATGCATATTTGACAGTGGTAAATAATAGCAAATTTGACCAACAGAACTCTCTCTGAAATTAGGCTCGCTTCTCCTGAACTGTGAAATGTCTAGGCTGAGGCAGGTGCAATACAACAAGTTTCTGTAGTGGAAAATGTGCCATTTGAACTGGTCTCAGGAAAAATCAATTTATTGTCCAAACCTCACTTTGTTTCATATCCGAGTCTTCTCCTTGCTTTTATCCTAAGACTGCTAGGGCTCACTTTTTTGCAGAGAACGATTTATTTGCAGTTGCTACCATAAATTTGATCTTTTTCCATATATACGTGTTTATATAGAAAGAGAATCTTCTCTTTCCTTTTTCTTGCTGCAGTCATGTTCTTAAAAAGTCGGGGGGGAGGAAGAATGATGTTAGTGTACATTAGATGACACTGACCAGAGTTGCCCAGTTCAGTATTTTGAGTCTTCAAACTAGTGTGATCTGTAGAAAGAAAAAGGTGTCAGCCTCAGATCTGCCTCATTTTTGAGGAGGCAGAACTCAAGACTGAGGTGCAAAGGAAGCTTCCCAAGGATTTCTGGGAGGTTTTCCAGAGCAAAACTGTTATACAGAGATTTTCAGACCTTGGTCATTAGGCAGAGTGGTGCTTTCAAATCAGAATGGTAACCTCTTTAAAAGACAGCTGTTTGTACGTGTCCCACTTATTACCCTCATTTTCTTTTCATGACTATGAAGGCTAATCAGTTTTTTCTATTGTTTAGAAAGGTGCAAAACCTGTGGTGAAACCAGCTGGAACCAAAATCCAGCCTCAGAAGAAAGCAGAAAGTTCCAGCTCTGACTCAAGCAGCTCAGATGAAGAAGCACCAAAGAAACAGCCATCAAAACCAGCAACACCTAAATCGGGTACCTCTTATTGTGTATCACATGTCAAAGTGTAAAACCAAAAAAGCCAGGGGAGGAGTGCTGGGGACTGTACCCACATGCAAAGACAGATGTATTAACATAGCGGTTTGAAAATCTGTTGTCACTGCCATTTGCACTCCAGTCCAGTCTGCTTCTGACATAGGAGTAGAACTGATTGCAAATAAAACATCTGGTCCTGAATGTTTCGTTGTTTGAATAGGTAACTGTAGTCAGCAGCCTTAACTGCTAAAGTTTTGCTTTTGCCAGTGTCTCCCCCTCAAAAAGCAGGGAAGATCTTTACTTAGGCTTTAGTCATGTAATGTCCCATCAGCTAGAAGAGACAGTTTTCAGAGAACTTTCTCTAAGCTTGCAGTAGGATAAACTAACAGTTTTGCAGGACTACCTTAACCTGCCCTGTTGGCTTCCTGTGGTTCTTTTCTCTCTGTGATACTTTCTGCTCAATGTAATTATCCTTCATCTGCCATGGCGTGTTTTGTAATGTTCCTTTGTACTTCTCTCAAAAGGAAGTAAAGCTGCCCAGGCGGCTAGCAAGGTTGTCAATGGAAAAGAAGCAAGCAGTAGCAGCAGTAGTGAAGATTCTGATGAGGAAAAGGCTGCACCAAAAAAGGTAAATTAGACCATGAAAAACTTCACGAACACTATAGAAGTCTAGTAAGACTGAGTGTATCATCTTGCAAGCACAGACTATATAGATGCTGTGCTCAGCATAATTCTTATACCTCCTCTTTTATACAGTGGGATTATGTGTTCTGTACATACCTCTACCTCTCCATGCACTGCATTCTTTCCTACTAGCTCCTTACTGCTTTTTTTGTTCCATCCTTTTACAGGAAAACATTGTGTCATAACCATATAATTTTCTCCATTATATATTCACTTTGGCATGACTTTTTTGTGCTTAGCTGACTATAACTTTGATTTTTCCGCTAGGGATTATTTAAAAATGTTTTCTTCAACACAAAAATAATCATGTGGCAGTTGCTACCATTTCAGTCAGTTCTTAGCCCCTTTGTCAAGAGGAGATCCTCATTAGCAGTTCATGCAGCATAAAACAGTAGAAGAGTGGCCAGAGAGATAATAATGCCCATACGTTTCCTAAAATTTGTATTTGAGAATATTTATTAATTTCTCTCCCTTTGTCTTCAGAATTTGCTCTCTTAAGTAAGGTGTAGAGTTAAACAAAGCCCACAAGATGTGTGCAACTTCCTTTTTTTTAATGTTTATTTCTTACGATAAGGTTGTTCCCAAGAAATCGCCTCTGCCGAAACCTGCAGCAACTCAAGCATGTCCAGGGAAAAACAAACGTGCCAAGGAAAGTTCCAGTAGTGAGGACTCATCTGACAGCTCAGATGATGAAAAGCCACCTGCAAAACAAAAGCCAAAGTCTGGTACGTACTAAATACCATTGCTGCTGTGTGGGAGGATACTTTCTGCTAGTCCTGCTGTCCTGTGAGAAGTGAAAGCCCTGCTGCACACAAGGTTCCAGGTGCTGGTGGTGGTAACATGAACCAGAGATACAGCAGCTCTTTTCATGTGTGCTGTTTGGGCTGGGCTTACAGTTCAGCTCCTCCCTCAGCAAGGGATGGGGAGTGAGAGATTGTGGTGCCCTGCTAGGTTTGCCTGTCGGATAGCCTCGTTCTTTGCATGTTTTGTGTCTGCCGGGGTGTGGGAAGTAGATATCAAGTGGTTTGATTCTCTGTCCCTGGAGATTTTCAAGATGAGACTGGATGTGGCACATAGTGACATTGTCTATGAATATTCAGTATCTGCATCAGTTTAAGCTTTTTTAGGGTTCCTTTCTTGTGAAGTACCCAAGGCTGTTCAGTTGTATTCCAGCTGATGGGCTAAATGGGCTGTGGTCAGTGTGGTATAATGCTTTTAGGGTTCCAGTAGAGAGCTGATGTGAACTGAGGGTCAAATAATCAAAGGTCAGTCTTAATGCTCTAACCAGAGGACTTGAGAACACAGTAAATGAAAACTGTGAACAGGTGATATAACTGTTTTCTTTTCTGGAAAAGTTTGGCAATGAGCTCCTGTTCTTCTAAAAGTGCAGAGAAAACTTCTGCAGAGATAGTTGGGTTAGTTGAACCCTGAGAGGAGAGTTAAACTCACAGTAGAAACAGGGAGGTAGCAGTGGGGTGAGTATAACCTTTCTAATTATAAGCTGGTGTGTTTGGTTGTAGTTACAGAAGGGGAATAAATGGAACCGAAGTGCTTTATTCTATCTAGGGCAAACATCTCATGTGCTGCTTGCGTTGTCATGCAGGTATCTGAATGCTGTGTCTCTCTTCATAGGTCCGTACAGTGCTGTACCACCTCCTCAGGGAACACAGACAAAGAAAGGCCTTGCCAAGGCTCCTGCAAAAAAGGCTGAGAGCAGTGACTCTTCAGACAGTAGTGATGAGGCAGAGAAGGTGCCCCCAAAGGGAGCAGCAGGTATGTTGTGAGGGGGGGAGGCTGAAGAGGAAGTACTAAATGGAGCCAACAGTGTTTTGGCAATGTCCTGGTTTCCTTGAAAAGGCTGTTTGCCTTTGGTCTGTGTTGCTATTTGCTTTTCTGGAAGCTTCTGATCAATTTGAATGCTGCCCAAACAACACTATAAGGCTTGTGGATCTGAACTGTATGCAGGTTGGATTACTGTACACATGGTTGTTTGAAAAGTCATCAGGATCTAGTTTAGTGGGAATAAGGTAGGTTCTTGCTTGGCTTCCAGTTGCTGGCTGGAGGAAGAATATGCCTGAGAAAATATCTGGTACACTGAGAATGGAGCTTTTTGACATCTGGAAAGGTTTCTATCTTGTAACAAAGGTTTTGTGTGGATGTGGCCTGTTAATTTTTGACTTGCTTTTGCAGGCAAAGCCGTAGTAGCTAAAACAATCCCTGGCCCCCAAAACAAAGCTGTGACTAGCAAGAAGGCTAAATCCAGTTCTGACAGTGACTCAGGTAATTCAAGAAATAACATCTTGATTCTTTTGTGTTAAATGTTTTTATTGGCCAGGTTGCTGTATAGTGATGTATCTGCTGAAATCTTTAGCGTATGGGCTAGCAAGATGAAAAATTGAAAAAACAGGAGCCTGCTATGCAGAGTGCAGTCTGACATGAGACAAGGAGACCATTGGCAAGTGCAGAAAGGTCTTCATGTTGCTGGGTGAAAAAGGTGGGGAATCACGGATCAGGTTTCTCCAGGAAGGTTAATAGTTAAACGTTTTGAGGATCTGTGTCCTGAGATTTTTGGTTTCTGTTATCCCATTGTGTTGGGGAGAAGTTTCTAAAATAAAAATGTAACCAAAATAGACTCAAAAGATACCTTCTCCTCATGTGAGAGGAAATGTAGCTCCTGTTGATCGGGTATAAGGTTTGCAGGGCTGTATTTCCCATGTAAATTCCCTATGGGCTACATTTCTCCTCGAAGTTCAAGGTGCTCCTGTTGTGTATCTCAACATCTCTGGTGCCACGGCAGGGACTGTGGGTGGCAGATGCCTGTCTGTCTGCGAACAGTTAGTAGATTGTGTGAAACTGCAGTGAGTGTCAGGCATTGTGTTGTCTGGTTTTGTTGCCTAGTTTCTATCAAAATAGCCAAGTTTTTGATTGCTGTTAATAAAGTGTTCAGAAATACTGGAAAAGATCAGGTTTAGTATTCCAGATTCTTGTAACACCCAGTACAAAGCTGTGTTTGTACTCAAGAGTCTCCAGTCCATCCTCAGACTGCTGCTAAACTCATCTCATAAGGAAACAGTTAAAATGAGATACTGTGCTGTCACTGCCTCGCTTTGCATGCTTTGTAGACTTCATCTCATAGTTTCTTGTATGTCTTTTTGATCCTTACTACATACCTTCTTTTCCCAATGTTTCTTCTTCCTGAGTTTAGTCTTGGTGATACTGGTACTTTCTCCAGTCCCTTATTCCCAGTACCTCTTCTCCTACGTTATTCTCCAAATATCTTATTCCTTGTGCATGTATTTATGAAGAACTTAACTGTTTGTTTTCACCTCCTCCCAACAAAGCCAACCATTCAAGTGTTCATCAGATGCTGCTGGTTTCTAGTTACCTAGTGGCTCAGCCTTGAGCCTCAAGTTATTTTGCTTTTCACTTCCCTGGGAGTTATATACATGTTCTTACTAAAGTAGCTTGCACATGAATCCTGCTAACTTAAAAACCAATTTTTTTGTTAGATTCCAGCTCTGAAGATGACAAAAAGGAGGTAGGGAGTAAGCTTCCAGCTAAACAACCTGTGATAAAGAATACTTCTAAACCAGCAAAAGTAGTTGTCAAGCCTGGACAAGCAAAGAAAGACTCCAGTTCTTCCTCAGACAGCTCAGGTATTGGGGTAGGAGAAAAGGAGAATTTCTACATGCATGTTGATCTTGCTCAAACCTCTGTTTCTAGACTGGGTAGAAGGGTGTGGTTGAACAGGAATACCCATTGCAGTGTTGTTTCAAACACTGTGCACTGTGTATCAACATTAAATCTGTATGTTAGCTTTGTATTGAAGGAATGGGACTTAGCCTTGATTGGTTTTTTTTTCTTTGCATTCTAGATTCTGATAGTTCTGACAAGAAGGCACCTCCTGTGAAGCCCACAACCAAAGCAGCAACCCCTGCAGCAAAGAAGTCACAAGCTGCCACAAAGAAAGCACAAAGTAGCTCTGATTCAGATAGCAGCTCCAGCAGTTCTGAGGATGAGAAGAAGAAGAAGAAAGCCCCCCCAGCTAAATTAGCTGGCAAAGTGGCTAAGCCAGTGTCCAAACCTTCTACTCCAGCTCCCAAAGCAGATACATCTGATTCTGATAGCTCAAGCAGCGAAGAAGAAAAGAAACCAGCAGTGAAAACAGCCACTAAATCTACAGGGGCAGCAAAAGCAACTGTGGGGAAGAAGGCAACTGCTTCTAGTAGTAGCAGCAGCTCATCAGATAGTTCCAGTGAAGAGGATGAGAAGCCCAAAAAGGCAGCAAAAGGAGTACAGAATGGTTCTAAGGCCACTGCCTCCACAGAGAAAGCGAAAGCATCCTCAACTGCAGCAAACAACACGAAGTCTAAGCCAGCTGGTGGCAGTAGTAGTAGCAGTGAAAGCAGCTCTGAAGAAGAAACCGGAAAAGTTAATGGAGGTATTATTACCTACAGTCTTGGGAGTGGGTCTGTCAGGCAGTGTTACTGAGCTAAACATGAATGGAAGACTTTCTTAAAGCATATTCAGTCTAATCTCTGTTACTGGATTATGCCATTTGGTGCAGTACTGAGAGGGAAGGGCTAGTTTTGCATTTGGTGTAATCCTTTTTGTCTGTATTGCATAGCTGCTGGCAGTAGAATCTGTGGTAATGCTGAAGCACGTTTCTGTATAGCTGTTGCCAGTTGCCATCTGTGCGCGCACAGGATTTAGTGGCAGCAAAGTGGACTGCTGGCAGATCTTGTCCATGTGGAGTGGGACACCACAGTTGATGCCGCAATGCACAATCTCAATCTTTAACCCTCCAGGAGGAACACTAGTGATGCCCTAATGATGTGTGCAAATGCATGTCGTATGACTCCAAAACCGGGCAAACTTTGACCAACAGAACTCTCAAGTATGCAAAATCATTAATATACAGGTACCCTATTCCATAAAAATATTTTTATCCCTTAGGATAGGATGGGAAGATCCCTGTTGACCCAAAATGGCTGTGTCTGGTACAGCAGTCTGTTTTCTGGGTGAAGTAAAGCAGGGACCAATTCTCACACCTGTGTCAACATGGGGTTTGCTTTCTGGAGGAGGGATGCCATTCCCTTTCCCAATGCTGCAGTTACTGCCTTTAAAGTTTTACCGCTGTACATCTAACAGGCACAATTGGGAAGAAACAGAAGAGGGAAGATGTCCAGGAGCCAGAGACACCACACAGTAAAAAAGCAAAGATCAAAACCAAAACACCACACACAGTTCCCAAGGTGAAACGGGTGAGTGAGGGTAGACTATGGCAACTGGCTGAAGAGGCATCTGTCTCCTAAACAACTAGGCTTGTTTGGGGGTTTTGTGGGAGGTTGGGCCTATAGGATTATTTATGTTTTTATTCCCTGCTCAAGCACTTAAACCTTGTCTGGAGAACCCTAGGGGGAGTGCACATATGTGCATAGTATTATTCTGGCACTGATTGGATATGCTTGCACAGGAGCATCCCTGAACTGCCTGATCTGAAGAAGGGAAAGAACTATACATCTGAGAAACACTTAAAAACTGAGGTGATGTGAACAGGGCTCCCCTATTTGCAGGGCAAGGAAGGAGGTTGTCACCAAGGGATGTGTTTTTGCGTGTGCTTACTGTCTCATTTTCTTTCTCAACAGCCAGCCTCTCCATTCCGCCGTGTAAGGGAGGAAGAGATTGAGGTGGATGCCCGTGTTGCTGATAACTCATTTGAAGCAAAGGTAGGGCTAGGTAGTGTCCAGAGTGGTAATACTCAGTCTCTGCAAGGACGTGTCTGCAGAGCAGCCTAGGTGTGCTTGTGGGGAGTGTTTCTGGTGAGAACTTTTTCCACCAGGAGGAGCTGTTAAGAAGCATGTGAGCAGTGGCAGGAGGTGCATGGGAGAGCGGTATCTACTCCAGTGTTAATGTACTAGTGTTTGCTGGGTAGGGTAAATTGCAAAGTGTTGCCTTTACTCTCTTGGGTACTGACTTGAATTTCTTTTTTCTTCCCCCCCTTCATCTCTCACAGAAAGGAGCAGCTGGTGACTGGGGTGAGAAGGCTAACAATATCCTGAAATACACTAAAGGCAAATCTTTCCGCCATGAGAAGACAAAGAAAAAACGAGGGAGCTACCGTGGGGGCACTATATCAACCCAAGTCAATTCTGTCAAGTTTGAAAGTGACTGAGAATGTTTCCTTTGGAATTCATAAACCATCTGCTCACCAGAACATCTTGGATGGGCATGTGAACATCATGGATATCAAACCTGCCTGGAATGCTACCTCCCCTAGCCCCTTGTGGGACAGGTAGCTCCAGTGTAGGGATGTGGGAGAATGGCTGGATGTTTCCCCCTTTTATTTCTAATTTTGGTTTAGTCCCCTAATTTGAAACCATCCTTGAGCTGGTGTTACTGCCACCACCAGGGTGACCTCCAAGGCTTATGTTTTCTACAGTCTTATTTTAAAAGGCTGGCAGTGATTTTTGGTTTTGATTTTCCGCCCAACTAGTAGAAGACAGAGAAATAATTCTCCTGTATTTTAACCTCCCATTTCTTTTTCAGCCAGTTAAAATCTGATACCTGTGAAAAGGCAAGCATTGTAACTTGCCTTTGACTAGTTACTGTAAGAACAATTGATTCTAGTTCTCTGACTATAATCCCCAACCCCACCTGACATTTCAAATTCACACTCGCAGTGTGACAGGGTTCCTCTTTTCTGTATTCTTTTATGGTTTTACCTTGCAATAAATACCTCCCTTCCTCTTCCTTGCACTCCTGTTAAGGCTACTAACCAGAGTACTTGGAGAAGCAGCATCTAAATACATCTTAGTAGTTGAATAACAATATTGCTTGCAAGGTGGGGGGCAGAAAGACCAAGGTCTATAGTACAGCTGTGGCAATCTTGTCAACACTTCCATTAGGAGTGTAGCTGGGGATTGGAGTTGTGCAGAAACTTGGCTGCATGGAGGTTGTGATGTTTCATGGGTAGGGAGGCAGAGGAGATAAAGCCCTCTTTCCAGCTCTGCTTTTTGCTGTGTTTTTGTTTCAGAGGCTCTGACTGCAGTGGCATTCTCGTTGTTCTCTCTGAACATACACTGTGCCAGCTTATGCTTATTGCCAGCAGTATGAGCTGCAGCTTGGTAGGAGTCAAGATGAATGTATCATTAATGCCTTAAATTTTTTTTCTGGGTTGGATCACTTGCTCTTTGAGCTGTTTTCCATCTGTTAAATCTCTCTTGAGAAGTAAAATGCCAGCTTCCCCTTAGCACTAAGGCAAATAAAGCCTAATGTGGTAAGGTTTGAAGTGTTAGCTACAAGTACATGTTCAGTACGGGGAGCCACAAACAAGTTCAGAAACTTGCAAGCTTGCTTTCCCTTCATTATGTCACTGCCTCCTTACTTACGGTGCAGCTTGTATTTGGTAGAAAATGGTTCCCCTAAATCCTTTGCCTCCTGTTAGGTGGTTCAGGTTAACTAGTTAGTGGAGCAGTTGGCTGAGCCCACAGCCATTGTGAATTGAACAATGGTAGTACATGTTTGGGAAACGGAGTGGTGGGCTGTGAGAACTGCTCACTGTGTGGTGAAACTGCCAGCCACTGAGAGAGGTAGTGTGGGGCCTGATTTCCATGTTTCCATTCCCTCCCTAAAGGCTGCCAATGAGAGCAGCCTTGTTACAGGAAGCTACATTAGTGTGCAAAGCAGTGTCACCTAATTGAGGGTTGGATGAGACTTGATGAGCCACCCCCATGTACACAAGCAGCAGCTTTTTCCAAATGAGCGTTTTTCAGGTCTTCCCCTGTGGCTTGCACAATCACTGTGGTGCCTGGATTCAAGGCTACAGTGCAGAGGGGCCCAGGAGACCATGGTTATTTAAAGAAAGTAAAGGTTAGAGGCCAAAGGAAGGTGGGAAGAATATTTTCTACATGAGGACTTCAACATCATCTTGTGTGTCATTTGCTCTCTTTTTTTCTGTTTATCCGGAACTTATATTTGGAACTCTTTTAAATACTTTTATGCTTTGGAGTTTTTAAAAAAGTCTAAAGTGTGAATTTGATATGTCATAAAATAAAGATTGCTGCCTTTGTAGTCTGAGTGGATCTGGTAGTTAAAGATAGGGAATAGCGGGTGGGAAAAGGGAGGGTACCAGTGCTTGGGGTAACATAGCACTGTCTTAATCTGTCTACATCCACTTGTCTTATTTACATGATTGTAGTCATGTTCAGACCTTCAGAAGTGAAAGGGGGCCTGTGCAGGTCTGTTGAGTGACTGCAAGGAATTTGGATAAAACTCTAGAAGAGTATTTGTGTATACCAGGATAAACTGAGGATGCTCAGGTCCCTTTCCACTAGAGTATCGAGTTAGCTCTTCTCAAATATTGCTGCCAAATTTGCAGTATGGCAGCTGGCCATATAAGAAAAAACAGCATATGAGAATAAGAAAGAATAGGCATAACTGAAAAATCTTGTATATACCAGGTTAAAATAAGTAATTTCTGTAACCTCTTAAATTTCTTCCTTCTCTGTGATCGTGTGTGCAAGGAAAAGAAACATGCTAATAGGTAGGGCCTTGTGGAGATCTTGAGTGCTGTAATGCTCAATTTTGCTCCTTGTGCTATACCTCTGGAAAGGTTGGGATGAATCACCAGGTCCATCAGGCTCTCAGTTCTGTAACCAATGCTCTTTGCCACAGCCTTCCACCTTGACCATAATGTTGTAGGAGAAGGTGTAACCCCTGAAGTTTCAGCTGGGGATGCAGAGAATGTCATGAGCCTCGCTGAAGATCAGCACCTGACTAAGCAAGAGCACCAAGTGCTGGGGTGGGAAATGCTTTGTGAAACTCTCAAGGCTCTGCGCTTGATACTCCTGGGAAAAACTGCTCCTTTCACAAGATTTTGCAGCTGCTAGGCGGGCTTAACCTACATCCCTGATCTTTGTCCTGGTGTAGAGGAACACTTTGGTATCCCTGTGCAACACTGGCGCAGTTTCAGCTGTGGTTAATGCTGGAACTGGACCCAACAGGACCTCCTCCTCTGGTGTGTCCCTGTATGGGTGCCCTGGAACACTGTCCCTCACATCGCCATTCCCCTGTGCACCATCATTTCCCTTTTGCTGTCCAGTCTAAGGTGTTCCTTTCTCCCTCCTCTCACGGGGGTCCTGGCCCTGGGGGTGTCCGAGTAGGGCTCAGGAGAGGTCAGTGGAGAGATGCTCTGACGCCCTTTAGGCGCACTGGCCTGGCCCGGGGCACAAGCGGCAGCTGACGGGCGCTGCCCCTCTGCCTGCTCGAGCTGCCGGGGCGGCAGGTGCGGGTCTCCGTGACCCCGGCCCCTCACTCGCCCTGACTCCGTGCCACAACGCCGGGCTCGGCTCGGCGTGGCCCGGGGTGCGGCCCGTGGGCGGGGGCTGCACCGCCCGGCCCCGCCCGCGCCCGCCGGCCTGAAAGGGGAAGGCGGGGGGGTGGCGGCTGCATCCCTCCTTCCTTCCCTCCCCTTCCCGCACCGCCGCGCCTCTCACTCGGGCCGCGCTCCAGCGGGACTCGCTGCAGGTGGGTGCCGGCACCGCGCGGAGGGGCCGGGGCGGGCGGCCCGGCAGGAGCCGGCCCGGCAGCAGCTGCGGCCGCTGCTCCTCGCCCCGTCCCGCCGGGGCGGCCCCTCGGCCCCGCAGCTGCGGCGCTGCCCCGCCGCCCTCCTGTCCTGCCCCGCCGCCGTGCGGGAAGGGCCTTTCCACCCTGCGGGGCCGGCGGGAGGCTCGGTGTGAGCGGAGGGTGGTGGGTGCCAGCCTTGCTCCGGGTGAGCGCTGCGGAACTGGGCTGCGCTTCCCGGGCTGATGGCAGAGGCACCCGAACACTGCCCGAGGACGGGGACGGGGAAGCGGCCCGAATTCCCGGCTGTCAGCCTGGCCCCGGCTCGCCCGGACGCGTGAGCGCAGGCTGGGTCCCTTCAGCGAGGCTACTGATGGGCGCGAGTTAGGCATGTGCTTCAGCGCGTAGGGCCAGAGCCTTGGCAGGTTCAGAGAGCTTTTGTGTAACTTGCTTCAGCTTCCCTTAGGAGATTACATCTCAGGAATGTCTTCCCTCTCCTGTTCTGCCTCCTCTTCCTATGCATCCCTCTTCAACCTTTGTTTACGGTAGCTCAGCCAGGTCTCATTCCTCTGTCGTGCTCTGAGCCAAGGAGCTCTTAGCTTTGGTTGTGGGATGGGTTTTTTTGTTTGTTTTTGGTTTTTTTTACATGAGGCCGTCAATTGTTTCATCAAAGATAAGACTCACCCCTAGCTTCTCTACTCCTGTAACTTTGTCAAATGTGATCAGACTTGTCTGTCAGGACTTTTATCAGTCCCCAGTGCTTTCTACACAAGATTTCACAACCTTCTGGGGTGTTTAATAATTTTTCTTTTAACGTGGTGCTTCTCTGCAGAAAGAATCTGAAATGAAAGGGCAGTAAATGGGGAGACTCTTTTCCTCCCCACTGCTCTTGATTGCTTCTCTAAAGTTTGGTCCACTTGTATCTCTCCAGTTTTCTCTGCAATCTGAAGAACTTCTTCAACTTGACTGTACAGATACAACTCCTTCTTAAGACCAAAAAGTGCACTGCACTGTCATGTGTCCTCACTTTGAGGTCTGTGCCTCACCTGACTATTTGGATATGTCCCAAGCCGTTCTGTCTCTTGCATCCAGGGATTACAAATTATGTTCTGATGTGCTGCCACACTACAGACTTCAGACCACTCACAAGGAGCACAGTCTCGTATCAGCTGCTGGTCTTGCAACTGAGAGGAAAAGTTGCAAGTGAGAGGAAAAGGTCATCCGGAAGAACTTGCTATTGCAGGGCACCCTGGTGTCACAAACCATCTCTCTTCCTTTCAGAAGACAAACAGGAAGCCTCTGGATATGGAATGAGGGAAATCTCGCCACCTAGACAGATTTAATGTATGATGAAAGGCTAGGTGGGGAAGCAAATGTGTGGTGTTTGACACCATCCCCCAGCTCAAGTTCTTGAAGATGTACGTAGTTTCAAGTGCTGCAACAAACTGAGATACAGAGCTTTATTTCTTCTCTCAGTTGTTATAGATCAGTATTTCCTTTAATACTGTGGTTCCCTGGCACCACAGTTCCCCTATGGACTGCCAGCCTCCTGCTAGCCCACAGATTCCCACCTTGCCTGTTCTCCATATAACTCTAATGAGACAGGAAGCATGTTTAAAATGGTCCAAGGTGCCAGAAGTTTGGAACTGATTAGGAACATCAATCTTTGTCCAAAACAGATCAGCCAGAGTACTTCTGATGCTGTTTTGTGGCAGCAGTAGCACCAATGTCAGATTAGTCTAATGCTGACTTGATCACTGCTATGGTTGTTCCCTTTGGTCCTTCGGGGATCTGGAATTTCTTCATTCTCTGTATTTGTAATGGGTTGCCACGAATATATGGAAAGAAAAATGTTAGAAAGGTGGGCCTGTTTTGAACAGACCACCTGTGCACTATTCACTCTGTGTGCAAAGAATATTTTAAAAACCTTGGGGTTGTAGCCTGCCAGGGGTTTCAGCCTGCCAGGGGATGCTTACATCTGAAGGAGAGGGTTTTCTTCTTGCTCATTTTTTTATATACTGAAATATTAACACTAATACTGGTAAACTGTAATACTAATATTACTATACTATAATGCTAATATTAGTGTTTTAATGTTATTGTTATTTACCCACGTGACTCTGCTGAAGCAGGAGTCTGTGATAAAACAAGAGCACAGAACGTCACCAAGCACTGGGATGGATGTGAT